GGGATTTTTTTTAGAGACCTCCCAAAACAGGAAATAACACCCTCCCCCAATTTTTTATTTTTTATTTTTTTTTACCCCTCAAGTATGCAGCGGCCGACCTGCGCAAGCCGTACGCGCGCGCGGTTTCTCAGCACGCGGCCCCTTCCGGCCGCAACTCGGCCGCGCGTGGACTCGGCCGCACGGCCTAGGCCGCGGACTCGGATTTTGCGGTCGCGGCCGAGAGTGCCACGTAGTGCTATACTCCTTCCCTGGCTAAGAATTCAGATGCTCAATTGACATTTGTGTTACCTCTGCTTCGAACAAGTGTATCTATCGATAGCATGCTAGGCAGCTCCAGCGGATTCACCGGAATCCTTGCGCATACAAATGTGACCTCCGGTAACTGGGTCAGAGAACAATCCAACGGTTCAACTCATTGTCGGCGTTTGTTTGGCTCGTGATTCGGTGGATCATCGTTGTGGTGAGTCTCTGGCCGGGCTCTCCTTCCGTATCGCCCCACTGTCGAATGCTTCGTGATCATTACATTGTTCGACGCGTTGCTTTTTGTTGGGACTGGTCGACCGAAAATCTATTGTGGTTCGTCAACTGACGTTGGCGTCTGTGTCAGTCGTCTTTTGCGAAACTTTCATGGTTCCTCGTGCACTCATTCGACTTCTGTAAGGACGCATCCTGTGTACGTTTTTGGGATCGCAGTGGTGCGTTGTAACAGTTAGTCGCCAGGCTGATATGCCTTTTGTGCTTTTCCTAATTTCTTGCATTCGGCATGTATCATTTTTTCAGTGTGTAACTCAGGCCTGATATTTGTCATGCCTGTCCATCTATGTCAGCAAGTTTTTCGTTTGTCATGGTTACCTTAATAGCGATTGCTCTCTCCTCAATTCGTACATTTAAACGACTCATACAAGCGTCTACCAAGTTCATGGCTTACAAATGGGTATGGAACTTCCCGATGTATACGCACGGGTGTCACATCAGATCACCATGCCATGTCGAATGCCTCTGTCGTGTGTTTTTGCCTCATTGTCACTGCTTTTCCTTTGTTATGAGGTATGTTTGACATCTCGCTTTGCTCCGTGCGATGTCCATCTCATGTGTTTCCTTTGTTATGAGTTGTGTTTGACATCTCGCTTTGCATCATGTGTTTTTGCCTCATCTTCCACTTGGGCACACTTATCTGCTCTGGATATCCATTTGCATTTGCCTGAAACAGACAATGCAACTTCTATCTCCTCGACTTTCCCTCGCACTCTTTCAACTCTCCCAATATTCCCACTTCCAAAACCAGTGTCTACACTGGACAACCAAGCCATCGTTTCTACCTCACCTGACTTTCGCCATATACCTCATTGTGTGTGCCCTCCGCCATAGAACCAATGACTTCTATATACATAAATGATTTGTATATACATATACAAACATACGTACAGCCAGCGAGCGAGCGAGCGAGTGAGCGAGAGCGAGAGAGAGAGAGAGAGAGAGAGAGAGAGAGAGAGAGAGAGAGAGAGAGAGAGAGAGAGAACAGACTATGAATACCTCCCTTCTCAGATCCAATTCGATACAAACACTTTTCTGAGTACTGCATTCCTGGTATGTGTTTTTTAACTTCATTTTCCAAGACAATTGACAAGCTGCCACTATTTAAACCACCAGTACTTACTACAGTCACGTAGCGTTAATGCTACGCAATTTTAGGAAACGTACGGGCCACTACAAGAGCGCCCAAATTCATCCAACTAGAAACGTTTCTACTCTATTTTTTTTTCCGCGGCCGATGGTTGGGCCAAGTACTGGTGGTTTAAACCTCCTTCTCACCCTCCAATTGTTACAAACCATCATGTTCATCATGTAAGCCTCAAGAAACGTCCATACAACTTCCTCTCCCGCTGGGAAGTTTTTCACCTTCCGCAAATTCGCATGTTACTTCCACCCTTGAAAAAAAAAACGCTTCCGTATGTTTGACAAAGGTCCTCTGTGTTCCTGGATTGCCATACTCTTACGCATCATTCTATTCTCAGTTGTTTTTCCTCTACGCTGCACTCCATGCACCTGTTTCTCACGGCTCTTTTCTGATGCTCAAAACATATTCCTGTCACCAAAGGTCTTCCCTAACCCTTTGAGCCGCGGACAGACTCGAAGAATACAAGACAGAAAATAGGTTTGGTAGTGTAACAACTCATCGACCGATGAATCTAGCAGAACAAAATCCTACTGCATTTTCAGCACTGTCAATTCCATGATGATACCTCACCGCTACTTCCCTTGATAATATTGGGGGGAGAAAAAAAAAACGCCCGCGCATTGGGGCCTGAGAGGTGGAGTCAGGGTATACTCAGCTGAGCAATTTGTTGGGCTCATCTTCCCTCTATTACAGCCTGGATCGACGCGATTCCGATTGCGTCCGCTGCTAACTTCAAAAGTCCCATGACGACTTCCCTGGACACGTCTGCCCTTTTTTTTAAGGCCC